AGCTGCTCCCGGCCAAACGGACAGCGATGGAGAGGGAGCTGATGTGGGGGCTGGGCCTCAGCTGCGCAGAACGGACCGTGTCGGCCCAGGGCTGGGCAGGAGTCCCGTCTCCTGGGCTGGTCACTTTGTGCAATGGGTTGAGCACCCACTTGCACGTGTCCCTGGCTGCAGGCGAGCACCCATCCTCGCAGCCGGCAGTGGGAGCCCTGTCGTGGTCATACGCCGGCCCTGCTCCTGCACCCAGTGAGCTGCCGCTGTACAGTCAGGGTGACAAATGCAGCGAGGAGGGAGGAGAGGGGTCTGTCTTCCAGCTGCTGGGGCCGGAGGGAGGTGAGAGGTGCCATCTCCTGGGGCTGCTTGTCACTGAACGGCCTGTCTCTTGTTACTTCTCAGGGCAGTAAACGGCTTTGATCAAGGTCCCCCCGGACTGGGAGCCTCTCGACCATCCTCAGCACCTGGCATGCTCCCCCTGAGCGTATGAGCCCACGCGAGGTCGTGTTCAGACTTGCGGATGCTTTTCTCAGCCCACCAAGAGAAGAACTGCTCCCAATTCCTCCCCGTTCCCACCCCGCTGGAACACGACCTGCATGGTGCTGCCAGAGGAGACCCTGCGCTCACAGCCCCTCATGTCATGTTAATACAGTTTATTTTCTCCTGTTGCTGTCACGGACATTCTCTGACTTGGCCCTACGCCCTGTGCCGCACAAGCCGGGACTTTTCGGGGGGATGCAGCAGTCTCATTCGCCAAACCTCGGCCAGCCGCTCCTCGGCCCCTCGCATTATCTTTTCTCTAACTTAGGTTTGGTGTGACACAAACACGGGCTGCTCCTCCTCTTTGCCCTGCCTGCTCCAGCATCCTGCTGCTTAGGAGGTGCAGCTGCTGGCCTCCCAGTACAGCTCCGACCCCTTGAAAGGGGCCCAGGGTGAGGCCGTGCACTGGCACGTTGGACATTTGTGCCAGGGAACAGGGTTCAGGTACGTGACTCAGTTCCTGCAGCTTAGTGCTGGGCAGGCGCAGGGCTGTCGCTGCTGCTGTGCGTCCACCTCCTGCCTTGCGCTGGAGGGTTGGGGAGGAGGAGCACCGCTCGCAGCCCTGCCGGGACGGCCCCAGCGGGCAGCAGCAGCCGTGCATGTGAGCACCGGGCTGGGGGGGACCGTCACTGGCCCAGCATGTCAGGCATACCAGCAGCTGCCTCAGCATGGGCGGGCAGGGCTGAGCGTGGCCAGGGCATTCTCCTTCGGCGCTCCTGCAGCTGCAGGGCAGGAATACACTGAGCTCCTGGAGCGTGCTCGCCCTGCCACGTGCCTGTAGCACAGCGTCCTGGCCCCGGGGACCCAGCCTTTGTCCATCAAACCTCCATTCCCCACCAGGGACTCAGCCACTGCTCCCCCTGGCTGCCCTGCCCATGCCCCCTCCCAGGCCCCGTACCCATCACAGCCATGTTCTGATCTGTGTAATATACGACTGGATTTTACAGCATCACCTATGGGCTTCTGTGACAGTTTTGGGCGATTATGTACCGTGTGGGTCATTCAAGCAACGTATTTGTGCGATTTCTCTGTCTATGTGCCTCAGAGTCGGTGGATTTTAAAATGAACCAGTAGGTTTTTGAAATCTTTGTTCCTGGTCTGGTCCATCCCATTCAGCTCCAGCTCCAAGCTGGTTTATTTACAAGCGCCGAGTAAAACCACGGGCCCCCGCAGAAGGGAGATGGGAGCCCCCCCCCTTGCCATTAGGGTTTGTGTGGTCCTCCTTTCCTGTGCATCCTCTGCTGCATTTGACTGTTTACATTTGTTTTATTGTACATAGGTTTGTAAACATAATATCTTTGCCTAAGATCTTTGTACATAACTTGGGCTTTGTAGCTTTATTTATTCAAAATCTATATGGCATGTTTCACTAGGACAGTGTACCAGCCCACCGTGGTGACACACCTCATGATGTGATTTAAAAGGAAACAAAACCAAACCAGAGTAATCTTCCAGAAATAAAGTTCTTTTAATGTGAAATCAGTGGATTTTGCAGAAATGGTGGCAGTGGTGGTATTTTCTCATGTCGTGTTTACAGCCAAGCCCCAGGCCTGGTGGTGGGGGGCAAACACCTTTCCTCAGCTGCAGCCTCTGCTCCTGGCACTGGAAGTCTGGCAGCTCAGCCGAGTCCTGGGTTTCAAGGCTGGATTTTGGGAAGGGCTTGGGGGCTCCAGCTGAGGATTGTTGCCTCCTCAGAGTAGCTGAAAGGTGGTTCCTCTGCAGAACGGTGGGGCTCAGCCTGGGGCCCTTCGCCAGGGTGCCATTTCCCTTCTCTGTCCCCAGCTCTGCCCCGAGCACGCAGGGCTCTGCCTGACCCATGGGGTCTGTGCTGCCTCTCGCAGGCACCGGGCTCAGCTCCAGCCCAGACCCTGCTGAGACACCACAGCGGGGAGCAGGCCCTGGGGGCAGCTGTTCCAGCACCTGAACAGGGGTCTGGGAGCTGGCAGCTGGGTCCCCAGCAGCCCCTTGGCACTGGGAGGCTCCCAGAGCCCAGCCCAGGGGGGCTGGAAGGAGCAAGAGCAGTGACATGGCCACAGCAGCTCACCCCCCAGCCATTTCCACAACCCTGCATTAGGTGCCCTCCTTCCCCTGAGCATGTTTTTAACCCGCTCATCTTCCCCACTCCTGTCACCTCCCCTCCCCGGCTCCATCCTGGCCCCTGTTTTTCTGCAGACACAACACCCAGCCTTCACCCTGCAGGGGAGCACCTCGCACTGGCCTCGCCCAGCCTCATCGGCCACTGTCCCCAGCTCCTGCCCCAGCAGAGACTGATGGTCACACAGCAGGACCCCCCAGCAGGAGCAGCACCTCTACAGACCCGACCCTGGGGAAGGCAGAAATCTGCCCTGGGCCCTGGCCCTACAGGTCCCTTTGTGCTCCAGCTCTGCCTTCCCCCGACAGTTCAAAGGCTCAGGCAGTGACACTGGATTTAAGTCAAAATTTAAAAAAAAAACCAAAACAAAAACCAAACAAGCAAAGAGAACAGTAAGGGAAAAGGCAGCTTCCAGTCAAATTCTCGTTTATTAAGGTCTATGCCAGCCTCAGGAGATCGCTCTTCCTGTAAGTAAACAGAGCAGGCGGCCACATCTATAATGAATAAATTTATTGTCTTACAAAAATCATTGTCTAGAAATATGGGTATACAAGAAAACAAGATATTTGCAGTCAGATGCCTGGTGGTCAACAGCCAGTTTGATTAAAAATATCCAAACACACACAACAAAACCTTTGCAACAGATGTTAAAGCTTTTAACCAAAAAAAAGGAAATCCATGGTTTCTGAGCATGTGGCAGAGGAAGGTTCCTAGTTAACACTGATTCATTGTCACTAATATCAATAATACCACTTGGACTAGAGAGGTACATGATATGAAGCACAGTCAAAATTAATACATTAAATCATTGTTATATAGGCAAATTATATATGTAACATTGTCTTAGTACTGTAGTGTCTAAGGCACTTTCTGTAATGTCAGTTTTGCAGCTATTTAAACAAAAAGAACACTAACTACTCACTGTAATACTGTTCAAAATAAAAAACCAACAACAACAACAACAAAAAAAAAGGATTCACATCCACTGGCATGTTAACTCGTAGGCAGGCAACCCCCATCGCCGAGCCCTGTGCGCACAGGCCCGGCCCCCGCTGCTCCCAGGCGCGGGCCCGGCGGCTCAGGGAGCTCGTGAGCCTCGTCTCGCAGGGCAGCCGCTCGGCTCCGTGTCCTGAAGACTGCCTCGGCCATCGATTAATAAATTAATTTTTCCTGTGTTGTACGTTTATTCTCCACTGGTGTTCACGTTACACTAGCCTTAATATATACACAGCTCTGTCGGGCACAGTGAGAGCAGGGCTCTACAGCCGCGGAGGGACCGTGCAGAGGAGGAACGGTGACGCTAGTTCCCTCTGCCTGTACTGCAGGAACACTAACTGATGAAGCAGGTGCCGAGAACACTTCAAAATGCTATTGCAGGTTAAAAAATGGACACTACTCATTCATCCCTACATTTCCCTCTAACACTTCCCAAGGCCTTTTCACAGTTCACTCGCTGATTGTGTGCTGATCACAACAATTAGGAGAAAAGAAAGATACGGGTGCGGTTTGGTCTTCAGTGATCCAACAGACTCAACACAGCCAAGGGCCGTCTGAGCACAGAAGAAATGGAAGGATGTTGTCTGTACAACACAGCATGCATCGTCATGACAATGGGTCTGTCCCAACCACCTACCCTCTGGGAATGAAGTTTCTGTATCGATAAAAAAAAGTGTCATCCTTCACATGATGCTTTATAAAATGGCTTTACAATGAGTATCTGGAAAATAGATGCACTGAACAGAGGCGATCCCATTTTGTTTACTCTATAAAAAAAAGCAGTTGTACCTATATCTGAAGCAGGGTACAGTATGGTGAGGCTGGAGAGCCTTAAGACATAGTTGACCTATGATAAGTAACCTTGTAGCATGCCGACGCTTCGTAAGGCAGATTTAGGGCCACAAGGCAGTTCGGTGGTCAGGAACATCCTCCTCCTCCTGCCGACGCTTGTGTAAAAGGTCTCTGCATGCAAATGGTGTGAGGGGCTCTACTCGGCAGGGGCCGGCTGTGCTTCATTCACATCACTGCCTTTGCTCTCCGCATCGTCGTCCGAGAGCTCCAGCGAGGCCCCTTCGATGTGCAGCTGGCGTCTCCCAGATCGACTCGAGGAGAAGGTGATGGGACCCCCCCTCCTGCGAACAACAAGCAGACAGCGATCGCTGACAGGTCACATCCTGCTCACAGCCCCAGTCCTGGTGCTGGTGGCTGCTCCTGAAAGACCTCAGGGGACTGCAGCAGCTCAGCCCTGGGCCACCCCCGGAGCAAATTTTTGAAACCCTCCCTCTGACCGAGGGGTCAACACTCTGCGCAAACACATTCTGGGACTCTGGTATTCCCACTTAGTTCATACGATCACCTGAATTTGGCAAGTCCCAAGTAACTCAAAATATTGTCTCTGTACGAGCACCAAGCACAGGCCAAGTACTAAACAGAGTGGGTTCTCTAAAAAAATATCGACTGCTCGCGTGTGAGGTGTTCGCTGCACCCCTCCCACCATTCCTGCCGCCCCACCAGCTCAGCTGCTCTCCCTGTCGAGATGGTTTTTGTCTGCACCAGCCTCACCTTGGCCAGCTCCTCTCTGTACTCGATACAGACCTTGATCTCAAAGAATTGCTCTCGAGGAAAGCGCTGAAACACTCCCAGGAGCGTGGGTCAGGAGAAAAGGGACCAGCACCAGCCCCTGGCAAAGCACGACTGGGCTGTCTCCTCCGTCACCTTCCCCTGCGGCTGGGTTGCACCCAAGGACCCCGCCAATGCGAGCTCCACAGCGTTCAGGCTCTGGAGCGGTCAGGAATATCCCTGCGCCCTGGCAGCTGCTTTGTTACCATCACCAGGCTGGGCCGGCAGTTCCCAGCAGGCTCCAGTTTGACCCATCCCCTAACGTCAGCAGCTCTGGTTCTGCAGTGCCACTGCTGGATGCTCCCCAAAGACGTGCCATGGCGAGAGTCCGCGGGCACACCGGGGCTCAGACCAACCCCTGCCGCTGCTGCCGGCGCCGCTCACCTTAGCCTGTTCTTCAGGGTGCTGACCTCCCGGCTCAGGCCCTCGTTGGCCTCTGTGGCATCGTCCAGCTCACGCTGAAGTTTACGTCGAGAAGCATTTGCACGCGTGGCTTCCTCTTCGGCCTCCTCCAGCTGGCGTTTGAGCTGCTTCATCCTGGCATTTGCCTTTTCCATCTGAAAAACACGAACAGGTTGTCAGGATCAAACCTGGCAGCTGCAGCCCCACAATTTGGGAGGTCTGAGAGGTCAGCTAACTCCTCGTCCTCCCTGACCACCCTGGCTGGAGAGGAACCACCAGCCTCGCTGCAGACTCCAGTGTGGGCTCTGGAAACTCTGCAGAGCCCCGGGGTCTGGGGTGGCAGGGTACGTAAGGGACCGTCACACCAGAGCCAGCACGGGGAGTCTGTGGCTGCCGGGAGCTACTCCAGTGGTTTAGTGACGGGGGTTCCCTCAAATGTTTTCATTAAAATCCTTCTTAACAAGCCCTTTTTTTGAGGAACTCGTACTCGAGCTATGGTTTGTCTTTTCTGAGAAACAGGCCCCAAAAGCTCAGCCCCTCTCAGCCCCTCCACCCACCTGCTCCTTGTACTGGTCGGCATGTCGACGCTCATCCTCCACCTGCATGAAGACTTCTTTCAATTTCTTCTCTG